AAACTTACGCAAATTACATTCATATGACGTAACTTTTCGGCTGGTTTATATCCTTTGGTTTCAAATGACGTAAATTTTCGGTTGGCTTATACTTCGGCTGGTTTATTCACACTCGATTTTCCAGTGGTCTTAGAATATACAACTCTCAAGAGAAAGAGTTCACAATAAATGTTCAAAATAGTGTTAAGTGTCAAAATAAGGGATCGTAATCAGTTAAAATGCCTGCATTATCCGATAACTTTTAGGGGAAAACTTAACTGGTTTTCACGAAAAATATTGGTTGGGTTGAAATGATTTCGTTCTTCAAATTAAGGAGAGTTAGTACTTCAGGTTCAGGTGCTTAAAGTGCTCGAACATAAGGTTCTATTATATAACATAAATGTTTTATGTGAAAATGGTTTGTTTTGAGAATATTTAATCCAAATTTAATGGCTTTGTCTCAAATCATGATTATTATTACTTCAAAGTTTTCAAATTAGATTTCAATGCCAAATTGAAATCATTTGTTAATAATTTTGCCCGTACCGAATTTTATTTCTTATTTTTGGATCAAAATTTTATTACTTTATTACTGATAGTGCTCAATGGTTAGAGAAACAGTTGGTTAACATCATTTGCCGTTTACTCGCTATTTCGTAAGTTGGTTGAATCGGTTCTGTGGTGATTTGGGGCTCTTCCCCCCCCCCCCCCCCCCCACACCTGGAACAAGCCATCAATTCTATCGTATGGTTTAACGAAGGTCTTAAAAGGTCAAGCATTGAGACCGACTATGTTTGTCATGGCCTAATTAGTCGCCTTTTACAATTTTTGTAATAATCGGATTTAGCAAACCAAATTTAGTTTTTAAAAAAACCGCAGGTGTGGGGGTTTTTTACTGACATTTGATTATTTGATAAAAATATCTTTGACATAACTTTTTCAATAATCTGAATTATTTCGGAGAACTGGGCTCAAAATGATTATTATATTTCAAGTGCGACCATTTTTGAAAGTTTATGGAGGTTTGAAGACAGCAAATCTGAAATAGTGTTTTGTGCGACCGTATTTTGCGATGTTCTAACTTTGTATTAACGCGTTCACATAATTTCGGCAAGCTCATTAGAGGAAAATATTGAAAATAAAAGTTACTTTTCTAATATCATGTGTGCTGAGTAGATTTAACTAAAAAATTTAGAACACTTTTTTTAAATTTACATCAGAAAACTCAGAAATATAAAAAGGAAGTCGTAAAATTCTGGGTTTTGCCGTTGCATGATCAGAATTGTTTGCGTTTTGGAATGAGAAATTGATTATTTTATTTTCATAGTTGAGTTGTTAAGAGTAGTTGGTTTACTTATTTCAAGACAACCATCGAAGGAAATATTTTTATTGCATTTGCCTTTTTATTATTGTTTGAGGCTGTTATTGTTATTTTGAGGTTAGGCTTCTTTTCT